TTTGGGGAGACCGTATAGTTTGGGGCATCTGGAAGATTTTTCTCTTGGGATGATCTTCTGTTGGATCTCTTTGCTCATGTTGCTGGTTATGATTTTCTTCTTGGTTATTTTTTCCAGATATGTAGTTGGGTCTGTGTTTATGGGTTTGTATGTGGAGTCTTGGAGTAGGTCTGTCAAGATATGTGTATAGATAAATAGATAGATAGATAGATAGATAGATAGATAGATAGATAGATAGATAGATAGATAGATATAGATATAGATATAGATATAGATATAGATATAGATATAGATATATAGATATAGATGATATAGATATAGATATAGATATGTCTGCAAAAAATGCTTTTTCCTGTAATAAGTTGCATAGAGAGCTTATATTTCTACTAGTTCTATTTTAAGCTCAGCGTTTTTCCTAAATTCTTATCTTTTGCTTTACAAATTAATATTCATCTCCCAACTCTGGCTATTGATGCTGCAGTTAGCTTTTCCCATTTATTAGGGGCTAGTTGCAACCACACTGTTGGTTTTGGTTTTGGTTGTGCTGCTTTTTCGAAGTTCCTAACTTGTTCACATGTTCAGCACATCAGGTAAATTTAGCAGTGGGATTTGTTCTGTGATTGTTATAGAAAAAGGAATGTACAGTTTCTTCCTTCCAGGATTTTATCAAAACCCACTGTCCTGCCTTAAATTTATGTACAACAAAGTCCAAGGTGGTGTTTGTGTAAGGACCCCTTTCTGTCTTAAAAGAGAACAAGACTGGGACAATTCAATAATATATTTTCTCACAATTTTGTCTGTTAACTCAGTTCTAGACAAACCCTCCTTCCCATAGCATGGGATCCCCAACAACATCTCATCTCTCCTTCCACTACTTTGGCACTTCCATCTATAAAGTAGTGCTACACAATCATGTTGGTCTCCTTCGCTTATTCTCTTTCTCATCAAGAATTGAGCAAGGTTCACATGATTGCTTGTGGAGAATACCAAATTAGGGTCTTCTATAAGGATTCCATCATACTTTAGGATAGGAGAATTGGTTAACCATCTCTGAGCTCGTTGAGCCAGGATGTTCCTGATCTGATGTTGGGTTGGAACCACCAAAGCCCCCTCCCCAAATGTGGGGTTTCTTCTTTCTTGTACTAAGAGCTGTGGCGGCAATAGCTTGAATACATACTGGCCACCCCCATATTACAGGGTCAATTAATTTGGATAGGAAGGCCACTGGTTTTAAGAGACTTCCCCATTTTTTTTTTGAGCTAAGAACCCTTTTTGTTACTCCATCACAGACTGTTACAAATAAGTGGAAAGGTATTTCCCCATGAGGTAGTGAGAGAACTGGAGCTGTTTTAAGTGCTGTTTTTAATTTTTCCATAGCTTCTAGGTCAGCTGAAGTTAATTGTACAATAGCCTAAGAGTCCCAAAAACTTTCTCAAGTGTCTCTTAGTTTCTCAATTATGTATTTTGCCATTTTTCAATGCACAAATTTATCATTCTGTTCTTAAACTTTTAGTCCAGGGGAGTAGGTTTTCCTCACTCCATTGGCTCAATAACTACTCTAAATGGGTATTTTCACACCCTTACGTGTTAGAGTCACCCTAAGGGTGTGTTCTACTTCCTGCAGCAAGAAAGTTAGCTGCAACAACTACAAGAATTCCCCATTCTTGTCAAGATTCCCTAACCTGTGTAACTGCCCCTCCTCGTCTTGAATTGCTTGTGCAATGGGGCGAGGGTAACTTCTCTGCCGGAGATGAACAGGTACTGCCAGAGGCTTCCCTTGAATGACTAGTGGTACATGGTGCACTGCATATCCTGGCAGATTATCTTCTGCCCATAATTGATACACATCAAAATCCTGCCAAGTATCGAGGACTCAAACCTCTTAGGCCACCATTACTTGCCACATCTCATTTGGAGAATGCCTCATGACTAGTGCCATTTTATCTTCCTCAAATGACAAAGTTGCCTCCATTTTGCATAACATGTCCCAGCCCAATGGGACACTCGGGCATGTATCGGAATTGATGTTCAATGTCCCTCCTATTCAGGGAACATCTCAGGGGCTTTAGAAAAGGGTGGCAATTTACAGAGCCATCCACCCCTTGTATATTTATAACATCAGCAGAAAAGGGGAGCCAACAACTTAGTAACTACAAATCTAGATGACCCCTATCTTCATTCAGACCAAGGGTTACGGGAGGGGCTGAAGAGGTTCCTTAGGCCTAACCTCTTGATCTGTTTTTGGTATTTCCTTTTGTATTCCCTGCGCTCCTGCCCTGGGAACTTGATTATTGCCATCATCAATATTGGGGGGGGGGGGGTATTTTCTTCATAGGGTTCAATTTTCAAGATAGGTTTGATTTTAATCTGACTCGCCTTGATCTGAGATCTGGGATTTCTATTCATTTAACCACGCAGACCCTCATGAGTTTGACTCAGCATTCGCGAAGCCATTCAGATTTGTTTTACTACTACTTGCCACTGGTTAATATACTGGTATTAATCTGGGTGACCATTATCTGGGTCAGTAACAATCTGGTGGACTTTTGAAATGATGTCTAGATTAAAACTGCCTTCAGGCTTCCCTTCTTAAAATTCTTCAGCATACACTGAAGAGGTGTCCAGGGGACACTTCCTCCACCACCCATTTCTAGACACTGCCACTGACCTGTGATGCTGGACGTTCTAATGGTCACCAACAGGAACTGCAATGGCTTAACCACTCACACAATTCTAGGGCCTCGTTAGGATTCACTGATCCCGGGCCCAGGGGGGTGATCAGGCCCCCCTCTTCCACTCTCAAACGAGTGGATGTACAATTCCCCAATACCTATACTTGCCTGCAGGCATCTTCTTTCCAGCTGGTGTTATTTCGTCACTTATTTTTGATTCCATTTAGGTTCTTGGATTGGTCAGTTGTCCACCAGATACCCCTATGATGCCGTCTGCCCCTTCTGGATAAATCATCCGTACTGGCTGAAGGGTCAGCGAGACGGCCCCGGCTGGGCACCGGTCGGTCCGTGCCATCTTCAGTGAAATATCGCTCTGAGTCCACCAAAACTCAACTACCCTCAAGCTTTAACTGCAGAAATGTATTCCAATTGTTGTGTAATGGACTTCAGTAGGCAAGCAGCAGACCAGCATAGATACAACAGCATTTATTGGCTCAAAACTGGAACTGAGGAACAGCAGGCAAATGCCTATAATTTATACTCTAGACCAGGGGTTCCCAACCTGGGGTGCTCGCACCCCCTGGCGGTGCGAGACGATATTCCAGGGGGTGCAAGAAAAGTCCAGGTAAATAATAGGATATTGGCTATATGTTGGCATTTTTATTTATTATTTATTTCAGGGGGTGCGAGGTTCGAGTGAAAATTCTTTAGGGGTGCGGGGCGAAAAAAAGGTTGGGAACCACTGCTCTAGACCAAGGGTAATCAACCTTTTTATACCTACCTCCCACTTTTGTATCTCTGTTAGTCGTAAAAATTTTCTAACCGCCCACCGGTTCCACAGTAATGGTGATTTATAAAGTAGGGGACAAAACCCCTACTGCCCACCATGAAAGCTGGAACACCCACTAGTGGGCGGTAGGGACCAGGTTGACTATCACTACTCTAGATCCACAGGGTCTTAACCAATCATAATTCTTGAAAAAGCCTGCCCAGATATGAATTTCTAAGTTTCCCTCCAAAACAGTTGGAGTTAACAGTTAGGGTCATCTAAAGGTTAGTTTTACTTTAGCATGGCTTAACTATATATATTCAATACATAACAACAATAATTCGTGTTGGAGCTAGAATGAGGGTGTGTGGCTCACAAAAATGGTGGCATGTGAGTAGACAAATCCAGAATTGGTGCAGGAGATGATCTCTGTTTCCAAGTATTTTTGGGAAGCAAGCAAAAGGGCTGGAAGTGTACTAGTGCCTTATAATATATTTTTATAATTATAATTTATAATTATAATAGTGTATTGCTGAACAATGGGGAAGAGAATCATTAAATTAATAATCTAGGAGGCCAAATACATTAAATACATTAAATCATAGACAGGTTTCTGCCCATATGAAGATGGGAAAAATCCAAGAAAAACAATTCAAAAAGTCCCTTCAAATATATTATGGTTCTGAACAGTCTATAATTATTTCCGCCTAGTAAGTTATAGAGGGGACTGTCTTAATGTTTATTCATTGGTGATAAATGTAAGAAAGTACATCAAATATATTATAAAACAAAAATAAACACCTACTGTACAAAGCATTATGATCACACTTTGATGACTAAAAGGAACAACATAGTGTTATGTACCTTCTGATCACACAAGATCATGAGGGTGGGTGGGATGTGGGCAGATAGAGTTTATAGGTTTTTCAATTACACATGTTGCCTGACAATTTAGTAATCATTAAATGCTAGTCAAATAAAGAGACTTCTGTGTAAAAGACATAAGCCCATATTTTCCAAGACTGGAATTTAAAAAAAATTACACTATTGAAATGTAACTAAAGAGCACTTACACTTTTAGCTTTGAAATTCATCAAAGGCAGATCTTAATATCTGAATATGCAAGTCCCACTTTGGTTGGATTTGGTAAGATCCAATCTCAATCTGATTTTGCAAGGCTCTAATGCATTCGATTGGTTTGGAGTAGAAGAGGCCCAACTTGGTTTTTGTTTTGGAGCAAAAATCGACGTAGAGAAAAGGAATTGTCATGCAAATATTGGCAAGGGCTTTTAGAACTTAGATATCCGGTTTTACGTATGCGTGCTGGCAGAATATTTCAATTATCTTGCGAGCTGGTAGGAGGGGCCTTGAAGCAGGTGGAGAGGTGGATGGACTCGCGAGCTTAACAGACAGACTCGGGTTTGAGAAGAAACGGGTGGATCTTTTAAAATCCAAGTAAGAACCGGCAAAATCCAGCTTTTATCCACATCAGTTAATTGACCCTCACACAAAACTTAGCGCAGCTGCCCTGAGCCTATATTAGGCGGCCCCTGAGGAGGAAGACAGCAGCAGTAGCGACGCCGCCAAGCAGCCTTCTACACTCAGTATGTAAACAATATATGGAAGTTATCAAGTAATGTTAAGCTAGTAAGTGGCAACAATCACCCAGGGTGCAAAGGAGGCCCCTGGCCTAAAGCGCGCCCCAGTAACACTTCCTTTTCCCTGCCCACAGAAGGTCCGACTGCCCGGTTTCCTAGCGGGCGAGGGGAGCAGAATCGGATACAGCCACACACCGAAGAAGGAGGAGGGAGGCTGAAGGCAGTCGCCAGTACAGAAGAGGATGGATTTCCAGCAGCTGGCTGACGTTGCAGATAAATGGTGCTCCAACACCCCCTTCGAGCTTATTGCCACGGAGGAGACTGAGAGGAGGATGGATTTCTACGCAGACCCAGGCATTTCTTTTTACGTCTTGTGCCCGGAGAACGGATGCGAAGACAATTTTGTAAGTGGAGGAAGAGAAGGTGGGAGAGTGAATGGTGAGCGAGCGGGAATCATTCATTTTTGGCCGGGGCAAAAGGCTGGAGCGGGGAGGCTGCTCGCGGTTTTTTATTTCTTCCAAGTTGTATTTCTCTTTTCCCCGCTCGTTTGCGGAGATGGCGGAGAAGAGACGATTTTCCCCTCACACACAAACCAGGTGGAAGGAAAATGGAAGAGCCTTCCATTGGTGAGAGGAGGGACCGCCATCCTGTTTATTTTGGATCGTTTTAGGGGAGTCTAGCAAGTATTATTCACCCCACCCCACCCCCAGAACATAGTGGAAATGTCACCAGCGTTTTTTATTCATGTTTTATTCATGTTTTTATTCATGAAGGAGAAGTGTCTGTGGTGTGGTACACATAATGGCCTATTGTGGCAGCTTAACAATAACCATTTACTGTGATTTCTCCCACTCTCTCATCCATTCAGCATGTGAAATATAACCTTTGCTTGTTGGCTAAGGACTGTTGCTTCTCTCAGAAGATATTCTAAATTCTGTTAGCATTTGTCTCCCCTCAGGGCTGTGCTTGCAATCTGGAACTTTCAGAGAACCAGAAGAAGGTCTCTGGAGTTATGTAAAGTATGTAACTGTATGTAACTTGAACTTTGGAAGTAGAATCACATCTAGGTTACCTTGAGAACAGGAATTTCAGATACTGAGTTCACCACAGTTTGGCTAAGGAAGTCAAAGTTTATTTTGGTTTTCTAAACCATTGGCTGCTTGAAAATATGTGGACTTCTACTCCCAGAGTTCCTCAGTATGACTGAATGAGGAATTATGGGAATTGAAGTCCACATATTGTCAAGTTGTCAAGATTGAGAAACACTGGTTTGTTCTGTAATCACCCTGTTTCTACAACACTTTCAACCATGTGGCCTTGGTTTGTACGATAGGCTGGGCAAAACTGTTTGGTTAGCTGTTACTGGTTTAGTATGTCATGGAAGTATCAATAGGCAACATGATTAGTTATCAAGAATATTGAATATTATCTGAAGAGCCAAGAGTTCTCCAGTGTTGCTTGATGCATGGGTTTCCCATTTGCAGTTATCTATAGCAACCTCCTTTTTCTATTTTCATCTGATGCCTAGCACATAACTCTGGTAATTTAAAGCTATTCTTAAGTATCAGAATAAGAGTTTTCTCCCCCAACAGTTTTGCCATGGATGCTATTATGTACTGGGCTTCAATTAGCAAGAAGCAGACCAGCATAGCTACAACATTTATTGACTCAAAACTGGAACTGCGGAACGGCAGGCAAATGTCTGTAATTTATACCCTGGGCCCACAGGGCCTTAACCAATCATAATACTTAAAAAAGCCTATCCATATATGAATGTTCTAAGTTTCCCTCCAAAACAGCTGGAGATAACAATTAGGGTCATCTAAAGGTTAGTTTCACTTTAACAGGACCTAACACATGTATATTCAATACATAACACACCTCCCCCCTAGGATAGTTCTTTCAGCCTGTTCAATATTCATAGTCTTTGAAATAGACTGGGTCCACGGATCCTGGTGGACCGCCTCAATGTTACTGGAGAGTCCTGTTTAAGTGGAGTATTGTCCGTCTCCAATTTGACAGTCTTGATGGCCGTTTTGATGGCCCGTGAGTGGCAGTGGCTCTACTGCCCACCGTTTTTGTGGAGGTGGCCATGGGTAGTGTAGGCAAACTTGGAGGAAAATAGTGGATCTGATAACACCTCAGGATCCTCATCCGGAACTGGCTCGGCCTGCCGACACCATAACTGATCAATGTGATTAGATTAGAATTAGATTAGAATTCTTTATTGGCCAAGTATGATTGGACACACAAGGAATTTGTCTTGGTTCAAATGCTCTCAGTATACATAAAAGATACATTGGTCAAGAGTCAAGAATCATAAGGTACAACACTTAATGATAGTCATAGGGTACAATAAGCAATCAAATCATATTAGGAAACTGTCAGTCTGTGCTACATTCAAAATCCAAGAAAGAAACACTTAGACTCCATTGATTAGAGAAAAGTAATCTTTTACTGGAAATTGAAGTGGTAGCTTCAGATAGAATTCTGAATCTAAGAAATTAGGTGCGCAGATCACATATACAAAGGGATGGAATTGTTCCCACCCCCCAAAGTTCAAAAGCTTCTTCCAATTAAAAGTTCTGGATATGGTCATGTGGGCATCTTCAGGTGGTGATGAGGCCTCTGTCCGTTGACCTTGACATATTTTGATAAAGATTTGCAGTTGCGCAGAGAAAGAAGGCGAAGCAAGGAAATAGAAACTTAAGAGCAGGAATTTATACCCCCCCCACTCCTCATTTATACAACAGAAGAATGTAACACCTCCAGCTTTCTTCCCAGACATAACCCCTCCCCCCGTTACTTATGGCAGTCAAAAGATGCAAAGTGGTAGAAAAGATCTTGAAGGCTGACATTCGGCCCCCCTAGAAAAAAACCGTTAGTCCTGTATAAGAGAGAACAACAGAAAAACACTGGTTAACAGTCATATACATTTCTAGGGTTTATCAGGATACTTTGTGCGAAAGTCTCTGATTAGCTTAGGGGCTCTAACGTCTTTCTCATTGACCCATTCAGCTTGGGAAGGTGGGAAATGTTTCCAAGCAACGAGGTATTGGAGACGACCCTTCCATTTACGAGAGTCCAAAATCTCTCTAACTTCAAAGTGTTGTTCACCCTCAATCAGCAATGGTATGGGAGGATCAGTTTGGGGGGGGGGGTCTCAAACCAGAAGTATTATTCAGGTTTCAACAAACTGACATGGAAGACCGGGTGGATTCGTCGAAGAGTTTTTGGTAGTGTCAATTGGACCATCACAGGATTTACAATTCGCTCGATGGTGAAAGGACCTACATACTTAGGGCCAAGTTTCTTCGAATTTTGAGTTGTTTGTAAGTATTTGGTGAACAGGAAAACTTTGTCACCCACTTGATAGGACTTCTGTGGAGTTCTCTTTTTATCTGCAAACTTCTTATGAGATTGATGTGCATCATCTAATGCTTTACGGGCAACTGGCCAATTAAGTTGGAGTTGAGATATCCATTCGTCTAGCGACTGGATGTTAGGTCTTTCACGAGGAAGCTCAGGTATGGGTACAAAGTCTTGTCCTGACGCCACTTTAAAGTGGGTGAGCCCAGTACTACTATGGACAGAATTGTTGTACACCACCTCAGCAAACGGCAGTAAGTCAGCCCAATTATCCTGTTGATAATTAATGTAACACCTGAGGTATTGTTCTAACACTGCGTTAGTTCCCTCACGGGCCCCATTGGTTTGGTGATGGTGGGCGGAGCTTAAGCCCTGGGCAGAGCCTATTAACTTCAAGAATTCCCTCCAAAAGTTCGAGGTGAACTGAACCCCTCAGTCAGAAATTATACGTTCAGGAACACCATGCAGTCTATGGATATGTAGTATGAATAGTTTAGCCAACGATTTTGCCGAGGGAATCTTAGAGCAAGGTATGAAATGCGCTTGTTTGGAGAACAAATCGGTTACTACCCAAATAACCGTGTGTCCAGTACTCTCAGGTAACTCCACTATAAAGTCCATAGAAATTTCCTTCCAAGGAGTTGTTGGCCTGGCCACATTCTGTAACAGACGAGCTGGCTTACCAGGAGGCCTTTTTGCTGAGGCACAAACTGAGCAGCTAGCCACATAAGTCTCAATGTCCTTTTTCAACGAAGGCCACCAAAATTGTTGGTTAACGAGATGTAAGGTCTTCACGAACCCAAAGTGACCAGCCGCTTTGGAGTCATGGGCCTGTTGCAATATTTGGCCTCTCAATGTCTCTGGTACATACGGTTTCGCGCCCATCCAGGCCAAACCATCTCTAACCGTACAGTTATTTGAATGCGCCAGGAACCACTCATCCAGTTTCAGGGCTTCCTTTAATTGCTTCGTCAAACCACTCAACAAATCCGGTTCCTGCTTCTTCTTTTGCGCTCTAGTGACCACCGGGGCAGCCAGCTGTTTGGTTGAAACAATCGGCCGTATCACTTCCTGACGAATACTGTTGTATTGAGGCAGTCTAGATAAAGCATCCGTCATAAAATTCCTCCCCCCCCGGGATGTACTTCAGTGAAAAGTTGAACCGCTTAAAATACTGGGCCCACCGAACTTGTTTAGGGGACAGTTTCCAAGGCGTCTTTAAGGCCTCCAAGTTTTTATGATCAGTCCATACCTCAAAACGGGTGTTTCGCTCCTTCCAAGAAATGTCTCCATGTCAATAGAGCCCAGCGAACTGCAAAAGCTTCCTTTTCCCAGACAGCCCACCTTCTTTCGGTTTCAATTAGTTTACGAGAGGTGTAGGCGCAGGGTTGTAAAGTTCCCTTTTCATTGATTTGAAGTAGGACCGCTCCAACCGCCACATCACTCACATCGGCTTGGATCACGAACGGGGCATCCATGTCCGGGTGCTTTAGCACTGGTTCTGCAGCAAACAATCGCTTCAACTTTTCAAAGGCGGCTTGGCATTCCATGGACCACTCCAGCGGTTTGCTGGGCTTTGGTTTCACCTCCCCTTTGGTTTTCAAGAGATTGGTGATAGGCATTGCTATCTTAGCGAAAGACGGGATGAATTGCCGGTAAAAGTTGGCAAACCCTAAAAAGCTTTTGAAGTTGTTTTCGGGTGCGCGGTGGGGCCCACTCCAACACCGCTTGCACCTTCTCTGGGTCCATTTCAATACCCTTGGGTGAAATGCGATACCCCAAATAGTCGATTTTCTCTTGATGGAATTCACATTTGGACAGTTGAGCATACAGTTTGGCGGCTCGCAGTTTCTGTAGTACTGAACATATCAATTTCACATGTGCATCCCAAGTTTCTGTGTAAATAAGAATGTCATCAAGGTAAACCAAAACCCCCTTGTATAAATGTTCATGTAACACCTGATTGATCATCTGCATGAATACAGCTGGAGCCCCCTGTAGGCCAAAAGGGAGAACATTGAACTGGAAGCAACCC